GTGGACAGGTATGCAAACCATGGCTGCGGTCGACATAATGGTGTAGAAGCGAAGAGTCGACTTGTTTTCCTCGACGATCTGCTTCTGACCCTTTGTTAACGCCTTTCCCTTTTGCACCTATAGGTCACCAATAGGTCATCAATAGGTCATCAATAGGTCATCAATAGGTCATCAATAGGTCACCAATAGGTCATCAACGGGTGATCATTGAGTCAAATATCAAGTAAATTGAAATGATGTCACCATTTGGTGACATGTATTGCAATTCATGTATCAATACTTACAGCCATTACTTGTCACCGATTCGTGTGATTACTATGAATGCAATGAATGAGCGCTTAATATAGCAATCAATTGAATGCTATTTATATGCAATTGAATGTAATTTTAATTGAATTCACTGTTAATTACCGAAACTAAACACGTGTTTAATGTTTACCACTGTTTGGCACTCATTGCACCATAAATAACGTGTACTATAGACAGAACCTTAAATTGTTTGTCAGTTCAATAATGAGCATGGTCATTCTTCATTGTAATTTATAAATTATAATATTTAATTCTTAATGATTATTGCTAAATGTGAACAAGGTCTCACTTGTCACTATAATCTTTGAATGTATCCACAAATTTTATAGAATTGCAGAGTTAACAAGGTACTCAAGTAAAACTTTCAAACTTCTAAATCTAATTAAAATGAACTTATTATTAAAAAAATATCAATTAACCATGATAAAATTTTTAAAAATAAAAAACCATCAGGTTTCCGTTATGTATATTTATATACAGTAGACTGTACACTATTTAGATATTTTGCCCTGTATATACAACATAATTATGTAATGCAATAAACAATTCTGTAATCTTTATTAGTAAAATGAATTGAATTACAATAAAACATAAACCTTTACGTAATGTCAATACAACTTATAAAATAGTTATTGACCCCAAATGTAGTCCAGAATATAAATCATGAAAACGATGTCAACACATGCACTGAAGACAAACACAATTTTCAAAATAGACTACAATTGAGTGAAAGCATTGTCACATCTCTCGTCCCGCTTTAGTAATGAATTTATACGAGAATTGGGTTTAAGTCAAATGGCTTTCATTTGTTTGATTGTTTGGATTACAATTATACTGATTATATCGCATTCATTTGCTGCCAATCATTATAGTTTCCATCAGATTAATAGTGAAAAGAAATCAAAATTAGTTGTCTATAAAGGACACGACAAGAGGTACAACAGGTACAGAACCGATAGAAACAGTCCTCTCAATATAAATGAGACAACAAGTGATGTCCATTCAGTGCGAAAGTCATCGCCAATATTCAAGAAGTTAGGCCTTTATGCCTTGTTATTAGGCGGTGCTTATCCTTATCCATATTATGGATACTATGGCTATGGATATGGAAATGGATATGGATATGGATATGGATATGGCTATGGATACGGAGGTAAGTGACTTTTTATAAGTTGCATCCGTAAAGTTTTAATAATGTTATAAACTATTGATATAATTATGAATCAATTGACATAATATTGAATAATAACTTGTGAACGGATAGCATATAACACCGGCGGAGCTACTGTTGGCCGAGGAGGGGGTGGAGGAAGGCTTAGAGGTCGGGGCAGAGGGAGAGGGCGGGCACGAGGGCGGAGACGAGGACGTGGAGGAGGACGTGGAGGAGGACGTGGTGGTGGAGGAGGAGGAGGTGTATTAGGAGGGATCCGAAGAATCATTGGGAATATATTTGGAGGCGGAAGAGGTAGACGAGGACGACGTGGCAAACGAGGAATACATGAATAAAATATTTTTTAAACAATTTCTTATTTTGTAATTTATATTTGTAAAAATATTATACTGTATTAGTTTATAGTAAATTTTAAAAATAAATTTCATTTCAAACCGATCAATTTATTTACAAATTGTTGAAAATTAAACACCTTTCTCATTTTCAATGCCTTCACTGGGATTTGTGTTGCAAAAGGTTTTGATTTCTTGCAAATGTTTTCTATAATGGTTTGAAAGTTTGAAAGTAAATCATAAGTTATTAATACTATTACTGTAACACTTAAATTTGAATTAATATTATTTTAAATATTTTATTAGCTATCAGTGAACATAACTGTAAAGTAAAAACATAGAGTTTGTAATTTTTCGTAGCTATTTATAATTATAACTTATATTATTAACAGTGTTGTCTTTCAACTCATCCATTATTTTCTTATAAGTTATTCAGTTTTATTGATATTTAAATTCTTTTTAAATAAAAATCTTTTTGAAAAAGTAATTCACTGAATAGTTCTGGTGAAAATAAAGTTAAAATCTATCCACAAATTAATATCAGGCTTTAATGTTGAAATCGTTTGAAAGTCAATATTGATACAATTGTTGCTCTCTTATACTTTGATTAAATTTCGTAATTTAAATTGTGATCAAAATTAAGATAATAGAAAAAAATTGTTTAAAAATATTTTAATTTATTTTGAAGTTATATTAGTTTGAATTAAATTCAATTTACAAAGAATCAAGCAATTTATTTACAAAGAGTTGAAAAGTCGACATCTGTCTCGTTTTCAATTCCTGTGTCGGGACTTGTGTTACAAAACGCTTTGATTTCTTGTAAATGTTTTCTGTAATAATATGAAAGTTTAAAAGTAAAATGTGTTCAAAATGATTGTATTTCCGGATACATACTGTTTGTCTTGAATATTATCGGAAGACAGGGGAATGACTCGAATGCTCTCAATCCACATCTTCTGCTTAATGATACCGCCGAGAGTTCGGTGCCATTTGAACGTCACTTTCCGAACTTCACCGAAATTGTAGTCAAATTTGGCGATAAAAGTATAGGTCTGTCCCAAATGGAAGATCTGATCCCTGATTGCAAATATAAGTCATTAAAGTTTTCATTAATCAATCATTAAGTTATGAAATCAAATACTTGTCATTCAAAGTGATCTGTTCATCATTATCTCCATGAAGTGTAACCATCAAAGTACCATGGTTATCACTTGAATGTGGAGTCTCTACCGGCAGTTTTNACTGGTAGGCAACTCCGGGAATGTGCTGAGTGTTTATGGAATCCATATAGAAGTCGACAGCTCTTTGATGATTACAGGCCACCAAACGTCTTACGCCTTCAATCAGACCTGATATGAAAACTCTATAATTTAGTTGATTTTGTCGTCGGAATTGTATTTTGAAACAAACCTTCGGTTATAATAGAAGTCCATCGCTGCTCATCACAACCCGGCTGATCGTATCCTAGAAATGTATGTTTGGATTACTATTAACTTTAGTTCTACAGAATATGAGTTAAACTGACCTCCATTAGGATAAAAGTCCAAATGTCCGGAAGTCTCATATAAACCAAAGCCCAAGTCGGGGATCAGATGTTTGGCATCCGAATGAATTGCGTCAACAAATACGGCCTAAATATTTGTGTAATTAATTCAAATTTAAAACTTAATCATTAAATCTTTACATCTGTTTTGTCGAGTTTAGCCGCTGCGGGAAGACCTTCAAAGTATGGCCCTATTTGTGTTGTCAATGAATTTAAATTTCGATTAATTTATTTATATCTATAAGCTTAACATTACAGACCAGCAGGGTCCAATCCAGTAATGCGTCCCACCTGGCCCTTCAATTTCTCTCCGGCATAACCGGCCACATGTGATCCCAATGAATGACCCAATATTTGGACATCACTTAACTTAAGGTCCGACACTTCCTTTAGTTATAAATGTGTTGAAAAACTTTTGTAGTAAAAGTACAAATTTTATTCAATACTAATTACTAAGCATTACCTGTAAGTCGTTAATCAGTAATGCCATGACTGGACCTACAACTCGTGTGTTAGCGGTTGCCTATATTCATATCATTGTCCATTATTATGATGAATATTTAAATACAGTGTAAGCAAATATTTAAATACCTGTCCATATGGAAGACCATTACCACCGGCCCAGTCAACAAGGAATACATTATAGTCACCGGCAAAGAGAAACTCATCTTTCATTTGTCGCATCCAATCGCCGAACAACTGATTGTCGAGGAATCCGTGGACAATGAATTTGGTGGGGTTTTTACCATTAAAGTTGGAGCTCTTTATGGCCTGTTTGTCCCCCTGAGTGATAACCTGTGCGTCCCTCTGGTTCTTTCGGGTGTGCAAAAGGAATTTGGTTTTTATGTGATCCGGACTCTGAGGCAGAAATACTATGGGTCTGTACTTCGGGTCATAGAAGTCATTGGTTGTGAAGTGACCGATCCCGGGGTAATCCACTTCTTTGTATACTATTTAATAGATCAATTAATTTATTTAATCAAAATTATTTCTTAAAATAAATTCCAAACCATTTTCATGTATATTGTCTACATTTTGTGTGTAAACAATGCAAAAGAATTGAATTAACACTAAAACCAGAGTTAACTTCATTTTTAATTAATGACTAAACTCTCAAAGAAATTGCTTTTAGGCTTAAGTTTGGGACTATTTATTAAATTTCTATAAATATTTAATCAATCAATTGCACTAAAAATTAGTTATCAGATATTTGAATAATATCCTATTGGTTAATTATATTGTTTTGTGCTTGAAATAATTGATAAATGACTTTATTATATAACACTGACATTGAAATTATGGCTGACTATTGTTAAATTATCAATAATTTTAACATTTCTTATGACTAAATCTATTATCTTATATATATAGTACATTTTGTACACTAACCCTATTATAATGCACTCATTTTTATTTAAAATCTGAAACCAAATGTTTCAGAATTATATTGATTTTTAAAAATAATAAGAAGAACTTGGGGTCAATTTGGGAAAATTGAGATCTTAAAGTAATAATTAAACACTGACTTTTAAACTGGTCACTTTTTACATTGTCTGGTTTATTGAATTTGTAAGTGTTATTATGATTAGTGAGTGATTTTGATAATTGTTGTCTAATAAAAAAGCTTTAAAGTTTATTTTTAGAATTGTACTAAAATAGACTTTAGAATATACTAGGACATTTAATATATTGGTATCCGGAATAATGGACCCAGATTTTAATATTCCAACAGGTACAATTGATTGTCTGCCAATTCTGTCATTTGATTGAATGTTGTTTTTGTAGATCTAATCAGAAAATACCTTTAGTTCCCAATTCACTACTATTTGATCCCTTCTATGAAAGTTTAACTGATTATTCATTACAAGCAAACATGTGTTGGTTTCACATAAGATAATGGTTTTATAAATTAATACTTACTCTAAAGTACATTATTAATAACTTAATAAACCAAAAGATTATTCTGAAAATTTAATTGTTATCAAATATCTTAGACGTCAATTAGACATTAAGGTAATTGGTTTTATTATAGCAATATACTGTACAGATACCGATGCCTTAATTAAAATAGTTTAATAACTTTATTTAATCAAAATGCATACAAATCACACAATTATTTATAATCAATAAAGTTGTATTATTCCGATCATAGAAATATAATATAAATTGTAATTCGATGTTTAATCCAACAATTAATTTAAAGTAAAGATAAAAACATTTGATAAAATGTGTGATCCTTTCCATGAGTTACAACAATATTGTCCTTCAACTCATCCATAAGTTTCTTGTATTCAGTTTTATTCACTTTTGACTTCTTATTAAAACAAAGTTTTTCTTTTAGAGACTTATAGAGAAAATAAGTGTAATTCGGGTGGAAATGGGGATAAAATTTGCGCACAAAATCGTGGGTGACTTTAAAATTAACACAATCTTTCTCTAATTGATGAAACTTTTGATAATTGAAATTATGATCAAAATCTGATTGACATCTAAAACATTTGCAAACAAAGAAATATCTTTCGTTGAGAGCGGACTGTCTCTCCTCTTTGGACACAATGTTTTGCACGTAATCTATAGTTATCTCTTCGCCGATCTGGATGTGTTTGAGAGCTCTTATCTCGAGTGTCAGTCCCTCACCAGAAGCGCAGGCATTAGACTGACAGCAGTGGTCAAAGACTGAGCCCTCGATGTATAGACCAGAAGCGCAATGACTTATACCCCGATCCTTATCGTACATATCGATACCAAATGCATTGATTTGCATAATTCCGTACAGTTTTAGCACTAAATCTTTGTCGTAGTCTTCGATTGAATATAATTTAAAATAATTAATAATCCCTTCAAATGGTTTTGTATTCACGATATCCAGTGAATGGCTTTCCATATCATTGAGTGAACGATTCAAACCATTATGTAATTGAAATGTTTGTTGCATTAGCTGTGGTTTGGAAACACACATCAAATACAATCGGAGGACAAGTCGTTGCATATAATCAAAGCCTTGTCTCTCGAAACTTAATAACTTGTATTTGGAAACGACTGGACACTCGAGCTTATGAAACAACCAGTCCTTGCGCTGACACTTGGAGTCACAATAATTTAATTTCTCACATTTTCCACACTTTTTTAATTGAGAACTCAATTTGAGGCAATAATCACAGCATATGCCTCTGTATTCATACTTAACGACATGCAGTAATGGCATACATTTTGCAATGATATCTCCCGCAGAATATTCTTTTGACGAAATGGCAATACTTTTACTCATATTTATATTTGTATTTTATTAATAAAAACACAATTCTAATAACAAAACTATTTATATATCAACACTTCGACTATAGTTTTGAAAATGTTGTGAATAACTGCATAAACTTTGCATAATTTGTTATGTTTTTGGGCATATGCAGTATTCTGTGTCTCTAATTTGTATTGTAGAGCAATGCCTAAGAATAGCAATCATTTAACTATAAAAATACATATATATTGGATGCCTTCCAGAACTTCCACTCCATTCCGACAATAATTTCTTAAATGTTTTTATTTTTACAATAAAGTTATGCAAACTTTTCTCTAGTATTATAGAAAACACTTGAGTTCACAGAACACTAAAATAAAACTCTCTCTCTCTCTCTTTCTCTTTCTCTTTCTCTCTCTCTCTCTCTCTCTCTCTCTCTCTCTCTCTCTTTCTTTCTTTCTTTCTATCATTCATTTATTCATTATTTATAAAACAACCAGTCCTTGCGCTGACACTTGGAGTCACAATAATTTAATTTCTCACATTTTCCACACTTTTTTAATTGAGAACTCAATTTGAGGCAATAATCACAGCATATGCCTCTGTATTCATACTTAACCACATGTAATAATGGCATACATTTTGCAATGATATCTCCCGCAGAATATTCTTTTGACGAAATGGCAATACTTTTACTCATATTTATATTTGTATTTTATTAATAAAAACACAATTCTAATAACAAAACTATTCATATATCAACACTTCGACTATAGTTTTGAAAATGTTGTGAATAACTGCATAAACTTTGCATAATTTGTTATGTTTTTGGGCATATACAGTATTCTGTGTCTGTAATTTGTATTGTAGAGCAATGCCTAAGAATAGCAATCATTTAACTATAAAAATACATATATATTGGATGCCTTCCAGAACTTCCACTCCATTCCGACAATCATTTCTTAAATGTTTTTATTTTTACAATAAAGTTATGCAAACTTTTCTCTAGTATTATAGAAAACACTTGAGTTCACAGAACACTAAAATAAAATTCTCTCTCTCTCTCTCTCTCTCTCTTTCTTTCTTTCTTTCTTTCTTTCTGTCATTCATTTATTCATTATTTATAAATAAATATTATTATTATTCTATAGATTAAAAGTAAAATATTTTTAATAAAATACTTTTAAATTAAAATTATATTTTTGTAATTCAGTGGTAATTTATCACTTTAATTCAAAAATACTAGAGCAAACAATTTCCTTTACATAACTATTATTTATTGCATAACTAATAACTTATACAAAGCTGTATTTGCTATGAATTATGTAATTCTTGTATCAATACAATTGTAATTTCCAGTTAGCATTGATAAGTTCAATAAAAATTATTAATAAATTTAATGATTGCAAAGATATCACTCGTTTTATTCAATCAATGATCAAATGCTTAAAATCTAACTATTCGTACATTAAATCCCTTAAAAAGAGATTCTCTCATAATTTAAATGTCAATAAATTTAAGCTCAAAAATTAAGTCAATTATAGCTTTAGATAACAAAGATTAAGAGATTATTGACACAAAATATTAGCACAAATTAGTCATGAATTAAACAACAAATGAAAAAACTCTTTGACCACAAACTGCCAGACATTCATGAATTGGACAGTAATTATCAATCGCTCTCTTCGTCGTCATTCTTGGTCTCAATGAGTTTCGGCGGTTGAAGTGGTTCTTCAGTATCGCTGCCATAGATTACATCCTCATCGGAGTCATTGATCATCGAAAGGGTGGGATTGTCGCGGACTACTCGACAGTCTATGGAAAGAATTGATGTGAAAAACAATTGGTTTCATATGTAATGAAAGGGAAGGCATACCCGAGTGTTGGTTGAGGGATGGCCTGTAATAATAGGCACAAATGCAGACATAGAGGTTGATAATGGAGAAGAGGGACAGGAATGCTGCAGAAGAGCCGTAATAATAGCTAAACGGAAGCATTTGGAGGAATGGTATTGTGCTTATGGCTGATGAGGACGAGGACAAGACAATTGTCAACAAAGAAATGGTTAAAACAAAGATTAAGAGAAATGTCTGCAGTTTGAGTCTTATGTCGAAGTATGGCATCGATCGGAGTTCAGTGAATGCAGACATCATTAGAAGTGTTAAGTAAATGAAGTAAAGTATGAGAAGAAGATAGAAGAGTATGTTTGCCATCTGTAAGAGTGTAAGACATGAAACACTTTGATTATCACTAAATCCTAACAAATGGTAAGCGAATGAATACCTGAAGAAAAGTTGAGTTTTGAAAGTGTTTGGTCTCATCGAAGATGGGATTATCCAACTGATTGGTGACTGAATCGGACATCACGTACACCATAATCAGCCAGAGAAGAGCGATGAGCGCCAGTTTGGGTCCATAGAAGCGAGAGAAGGAACGGCTGTTTTGACGGATGCCGTGAAAGAAAGACAACCAAAACATCATAAGCGTACACATGAGTGAACTCTGGAAGAGGATCTCCATGAGTCGCGGTAGGGCTGAGCCGAACAAGAACTGCATCGGATAGAAGGGATTGTCGGTCACCAGAAGTAGGGCCAGCAGAAGGGCCGTCCACTTCTGCTCGAGAGACCAGTCGACAAATGGGAACCGATAGAGACTGTGAGTGAACCAAAACATAACGCAGAAGGAGATCAAGAGGAAGAAGAATCGGAACCAAATGGAAAGAGTGGTGAACGACGTGTTGATCGACCGGAAGGTGAAAGTGATGTCTTCGATGACATACTTGTTGTTCACGGTATCCAAGCGCTCGAAGGCAATGCCAACCCTATAGTGTTTGTACGCGATGTATGTCAAGTGCAGCACTTGGATGGGTTCGCACTGCCGGCCCCCGCAGTACAGTTGATATGTTAGGGAACTGTCGCTTATGATCGATATATTCTTGTTGGACTCGTCGATGCCGTCCAGACGTATATTAACAGCAATTTCCTTATGGAAAGCTTCGGACGCCTCTTCGTTCTTGAGGTGAAAGGTTAGGAACAGACAGAGTTGTTGGGAGTATGTGTTGAGCGATGGTGTGGTCACTACGAAGGGACCCGAAGACATGAGTCGACTTATGTATGAGCTATTGATCTGCGATTCACTGAATATTTCAGTGGCCGTTATTTTATTGATTTTGTGCACATTAGGTCCCGCGAAACCAATGAACAGTAATAATATATATGTCGATAACAGGGCTAATAATGATAATAGGATTTCCCTTTTGTGCATTACATACAAATACATCTGCAGTGATCTGTTGGACAATCCATTCAAAAGTTAAGTCAATATTAATTGTTATAAATTGATAATAATTAATATATTCTATAAATATTCTATGAGTGAGCATACAGTATGTGATATTCTATAGTAATTCTGTGCTAATTAAAGATTGGGTTTATAATAGGAAATGTTATAAATAAGGAATATGTGTACTGGGTATTTAAATAAACACTATCATACTCTAATAAGTCATTATAATAAATTAAATATTAAATTAAATTAAATTAAACTGATGAACACATACCGTTCACACCTGTCATGATAATAGGTGGGCGCTATATATTTACCGAATTGCGAGAATATGTCATTCACTTGAGACTTAATTCTTAATATAAAACTCATTTTGATGCCAATATATTGTATATCTGAATGAAATGAAAAATGATCCGAGATTTGGATTAATATAAACGAATGAGATTTAAGTGATTAAAGAGAAATTAGCGAAAAAAGAGCAAAAATATGTTTTGTTTGAGTGGTCGGCGACACACAACATGTTTGCCATTGAAATATTGATCGACACAAACATCACAACCAAATGCTCTCTTCGGTGGTCTCTATGGAGAGCTGTTTTTCATTGCCGAACAGATTCACCAAAATATCGATCGCTTTTTGTGTCAATTGTTTGCGTGCCTCTCATCCGAGTCTCTCATCTGAATTGTGAACAAAATTCTTCGCATTCTTGTTGTTTGTCTGACATTTGTTTCAGACATTCACACAATTATGTTAATACCAAACATAGCTTGTAATCCATATTTAAATAACAAATACAGAATTTTTAATTAAAAATATATTAAACTTTTATTTATTCTCTTTCCGATGAATTAAAGTTAACTGTTTTAAGACCTGTTTATTAATAGCGCAAAATATGTCTTAGATTACTAATCTAAATTACTCACCAATTTAATTGTTACTAAAATCTTAAAACTCTTATTATTATGTAAAACATATATTTGAATTTTGTAATTTTTATTTACTTTTAGAATTCGTTTCCAATACTGAAAACAAAGCAAAAGTCTATGAAATTATAGAACTTTTTCATAAGAAGTAGAAATTTATAAATAAATAAATAGTTAAAAATTTAATCGAAATGTTTTGATTTTAAATCATTTAAAATCAATATTTCCGTCAAAATTATAAAAATAATAATTCATTGAATTTATATTAAATTAAAGTAAAAAAGGAATTCGTAACCAAATGTATAAAGAAAATTGTTTCAGAAACACAGAATTCATTCAAATAATAAAATGATAAATAAATTGTGAAAACAATAGTCAATAAAAGATAAAAAATATAAAATTATTAATTTAATTAAACTCTAGACTAGTGCTCAATATGTTTTCAATGGTATTTAAATTAATAAACATAAACATGTTGTCTATTTTTGGTTTTATCACAAATACTGGTTTGAATACATATTCAAATCCACTTTTAAAAGGGTTTGACATTAAAAACAATGGATTTCTCGTCAATACATGAGCGGTTCATCCGTTTTAACCATTACTTGAACAGCCAATTGAGAATCAGTTGCACAACAATTATCACAAAAATTACCGACAAATCACTCAATGAACGTCTGGCCATAAATGGCGTGAATGTGTCGCTACCCCTGTCTCTGATGGCAGTCAACTGGCGGTAAAACTTATTCTGTGTCTCCAGAAGTGTATTCATATTATTATGCAATTCATTCAATCGAGAGTTTGTTTGTTTGTGGAAATCGGTGATCGACTCAAACATATTCTTCAGTTTGTCTTTCGACTCAATTGACACGTTATTAAGGAGTCCATCGCTTTCGGTGGACTCGTGTCCATCCATTCCCACACTCGACGACTCTTCGGAACCACAGGAACCGCTTCTCTGGTATTTATGGAACTGTTTGTTAGGCGTTCGCAACGCATCCGGAGATAACTTGTTTTGTTCAACAGATATGACACTTCCGGTCGACACAACCGCTATGTTTGGCGTCCGATGTCTTGTAATGGTTTGGATGACGTACTCGAGTTCATACTGTTTGACGTCTGTCCTGATATCCCAGGGCCTGATGTCTGCGGATATGTAGAGCCAGTCGTTGTGATGCGAATCAAATACAAATAGCTTTGGAATCCATTTCTCCATTTTATTCAAACGAGTTTTGGCGGCATTTCTCTGTTCCTCCTCTAAGACGGTCTTCTCGACTGTGGCTGCGATTTGGTCCTGTCTTTGGATGGCTTCAGTCACTCTATGCCACAGTCTCTCCGATTCAAACGAGTTCTGCTCACTAATGGGAACCACAAACCTCTTGAGTCGACTTTGTTTAATGGCTGGTGTGGGCGACCAAAACAGTTCCGATTCACCGCTACGTTTGTCTTTGTAATAGATGTCTGAATCCCAGTGCCCTTCAATGGTGGCCAACGTCTCATTGCCCAAACGGATCCGTCCGGTCACGAGATTACACAAGTCTGAAGAGCCTAAGAATGGCTTCAATTTGAACTCTAATTCTGTGTTATAACCCGTTTTATCGCATCTTATGTTCACTTTCCCGCCCAACTCGAGGGCCAGAGTTCCCAAAAGTATGCCTTTGCAGTGGGCGTACGGAAACGTCACGTAATAGTCCTCTCCGCGGCTCAATAGCTTGAGACGTGCCGTGCCGTCCAATATCGCAGATATACTGTTCCCATAGAATTTAGATTTGGCTAAAATTGAACCACTGATGCAAAAGCCATCCTTTCTGTTGGTCACATAGAATGCAGAGACAGGCGGATGATGTGACACCTGTTCCGAGATATAGAAGGTCTTGGAGTCCGTCTCCGGATGAGACCAATAGCAGCGGAAAGTCTCGCCCAGAATTGGATTGTAGGGCTTCTTAAGACCTTTTGGTTTCTTATAAAAGCCCGACAAATACCACTTCACTATGAGTTTCATTCGCAACAACGGGTCGTCTTCTA